AGTTTGGGCAGGTTTTGATAGCTTGTATGTATATAATGTATGTATATAACAACAATCAGGCTGTGCTACAGAGCTGTTAAAAAGAATTGTGTTTGCAGGATGGTGAGCTGGGAGAACCCACAAATTCCAACAATCCTGGCACCTGTGGATGTGAGGATACACGCTCATTTAGCGAAAGCATCCAGAGTCACTGGAATTCTCTCCAAATGTAGCTCCTCCCACTTCTAGACACCCCTTGAAAGAATAGAGTTAAAATAAATGACAACAAAGTGAGTGGAGGGACAAGGACAGAAACTGGAATACTGCCATCTTCCGTGTGTGTGTGTGTGTGTGTGTGTGTGTGTGTGTGTGTGTTGGAATGCTTGTTTCTTTATTGCCATGACTGTAGATGGAAAGTTCAGCAAAAGCTTCACTATTTCTGTTTTGACTGTTACTGTATGGGATTTTATTGTATCACCACTGTTGAGAATAACCTTGGTGTACCGAGGGAGATACAAAAAATTACCTTTCGTTTCATGTGAAATTTAGAGTGATAGTTAATTTTTGATGTCCACTTGACTGGGCTATGGGGTGCCCAGCATTGGGTCAGATAACATTCTGCATGGTTCATGACGATGGTTCTAGATGAGATCAGTGTGAAAATGGGTAAATTGAGGAAAGCAGACAGCTTTCCCCAGTGTGGACAACCTCACCCAACCCATGAAGGAACTGAACAGAAGGCAAAACCTAAGTGCTCTGGTTTGAGCGTGTACCCTCAAGATCCTAAGAGCTGAAATATAACAGCCATGGGACAGGTGGGTCCTTGAAGAGATGACAGGCTATGCGTGATCCTGTCTGGGCAATAGGATGAAGGCCCTCTTTAAAGAGTAGTCTCTGTCCCTGGTCCTTCTGGGTCCTGCCACCTGAGAAGTCAGGGGTCCTCCCTCCAGGTACTGAAGCTCTTATCACCAGATACCAAACCTAAATCTGGCATCAAAACCTTAAACTTACCAGCATCTAGACTGGGGGGAGGAGGAATTCTGCTTTCAATTGTCCAATCCTCAGTGTCTTGTTGTAGCAGTACAAATTGGACCACAACACTGGGTGATCTAGTCACCAGCCTGATTTCATGAGATGAGACACTGGCTCTCTCCTGTCCTCAGAGTGGAGGCTGTGCCATTGGCTCTCCAGGGTCTCTAGCATGCCAGCTGCAGGACTTGAGACTTCTCAGCCTCCATAGCACAAGAGTCACTTCCTTACAACAACACATACACATACATACATACACACACACACACATGTGCACACATACACCCCATTGGTTCTTGGCTCTGTTTCTCTGAGACTCTTGACTGATACACCTAAGTATGGCTTGTCATGCCAATTCCTTCCTTCCTTCCTTCCTTCCTTCCTTCCTTCCTTCCTTCCTTCCTTCTTTCTTTCCTTGTGTGTGTGTGTGTGTGTGTGTGTGTGTGTGTGTGTGTGTGTGTGCGCGCACGCATGTGCCAGTGCTAGGGCTTGAACTCAAAACCTCACACCTGCTAGACAAGTACTCTATCACAAAGCCACCGCTCCAACCCCATCTCACATGGCTTTTTCACCCACAGCTTTTGCTCTACTACATGAGTCATACCTCCACTCTGACTTTTTATTGGGTAATTGGAGATAAGAGTCTCATTAACTTTCCTGGCTGGGCTGGCTTCAACTATGATCATCTGGCAAAAATTGCTTTCTTACATACTGCAGGAAGCAAATAAAATTTGAAATTTTTTAAATTGTTGGCAAACAGGGAGCTGGTGGCTCATGCCTATAATCCTAGCAATTGGGGAGGCTGAGACTGAGGATTATAGTCTGAAGCCAGCAGGGCAGGAAAGTCCATGAGACTCTTATCTCCAATTAACCACCCCCAAAGAGGCAGAAGTAGAGCTGTGAATCAAGTGCTAGCCTTGAACACAAATGCTCAGGGACAGTGTCCAGGCCCTGAGTTCAAGCTCCAGAGCACACAGGTACACATGTATACACACACATTCACACACACATTCACACACACACACACATTCACACACACACACACACACACACTAGCAAAAGTCCTGAATATTCACTTCACCAAAGAAGATCTACAGATGTCAATTAAGTCCACAAAAGATGCCCAACACCATGTCATTAGGGAATTTAAATGGAAATAAAGTATCACTGTTCACTTAACAGAATGGCCAAAATTCAAAACACTGTCATCACCAAATTCAGGCGAGGAAAGGGTACAAGAACACTCTCTCCCTCCCTCCCTCTCTCTTCCTCTTTCCCCCTTTTTCTCCCTCCCCCCTACACACACGCATTGCTGATGGGCATGGAAAATGATACAACCTCTTTGACAGTTTCTCACACAACTAAACATATTCTTACCATCTGCCAGCAGCCATGCTTCCTGCTCTTTATCCAGATAAGAACATTTAGGTCCATATTAAAAAAAAAAAAAACCCTGACCAATCACAGATGTTTACCACAGCTTAATTCTGGGATGAGGGATCACTATAACTCAACACTGTCTCTGACTGCATGGACAGAAGGCCCTGGTTTGCCGAGAGAGTTGACATCCCATCCTTGGTGAGTATCAGAACACAGCTAGAGCTCTCATTTTAGAGACTGCGGACTGGAAAATAAAATGAGGTTGGATCCCTACCTCACACCATATACAAACGATTACCTCAAAAGGGAACAATGACCTAAATATAAGGGCCAAAACTACAAACTTCTAGAAGAATACATGAGCAAATCACCAAGACCTTGGATTCAACAACAAATTCTTAGGGCACCAAAAAAACATAAACAAGACCAATAAAATGGATAAATTGGAGGTGAGGATTGGGCTCTGCTGTATCAGCTGGACCTCCATTACCGATCCTCTCTTGTCACGGCCTTCTGCTCAGAGTTCAAGGCACTCACAGAAATGACTTAGAGAGCCTCTACAGAGGCTATCTGGTGAGATAGAAATGCACAGAGCATGTGCTTTCATGCACTGGTACGCCCTCTCTCACGCCCTCTCTCACGCACTCTCTCTCTCTCTCTCCTTCCTTCCCTTCCTTCCTTCCTTTCAGGCATGCACCATCACACCTAGCTTCACATGTCTCTTTCTGCCTCAGCTCTTCTGCTCATACAAGGTTAAGTGAAGAATTCCAGATGAGTTACACCATGAGCAATGTGGGATGCCAATGTGGACGCAGAGGGGTCGCTTGAGGTGCAGAGGGGTGCCAGAGTGCACCTGGGCTGGGACTCGCCACTCATTGCTTCTTTGACATGAAGCCCAGAGCCATTTCCACCATCTCTGATTGTCAGGTGCCGGTCCCCCTACGCAACTTACCAGGCCCACCTCCAGGTGTGGATTGGATCTGCTGAATAGGCCCAGCAAAGGTGGTGGAGATAAACTGTCAGCCAGGAAAGACTGCTCAGACCGAGATGGCCCTGAGCCCCACAGGATGTCAGAACAGGGAGCTGACACAAGCCAGGCCCCTCTGTCAGCCATTTTTAGACAATGTACAGGAAGAGATATGTGTCTCCAGGGCAACCTTGCTGTTTCATTACAAACACCTACTTTTCATATCTGCAGAGCCCAGCCTCTTCAGGAAGGTCATTCTAGGAGGCCACACTCCTCCAAAGAGGCTGCCATGATTCAAAGCAGCCACTCCCACTCCCAATCACCTGACAATAGTGTCACAATCACAGGGTGGCAGAGACAACTGAGTGGGGCCACACAGGGAGTATGTGTCACACTAGGCCCAGTAAGACAGAGGCAATTTGTTCATCTTGTAGATGACAAAACCACTGGAGTGTGCCGGGCGCTGGTGGCTCACATCTGTAATCCTAGCTACTCAGGAGGCTGAGATCTGAGGATCATGGTTTGAAGCCAGTCTGGGCAGGAAAGTCTATGAGCCTCCTGTGTCCAATTAACCACCAGACAACTGGAAGTGGTGCTGTGTCTCAAAGTAGCAGAGTGCTAGTCTTGAGCAGAAGCTCAGGGATAATGTCCAGGCTTTGAGTTCAAGCCCCATGACCAGACAAAAGGAAAAAAAAAAAAAAAAACCTCTGCTAGAATGAAATTGCTCACCCTGAGAAAAATGGCTGTTCCAGGGCAGAGCTGGGGTTCCAGTACCCCCCAGAGCTAACATTTGTGTGTTTCCAAGAGGACAAGAAGGAACGGCTGTCAGGCTGCAGGGTCCCTCCTGTAGGTGGCTGAGGACAGCAGCCACAGCTGCTTTCTGCTTTCCTGGTGTCCTTAGAAACTTCCCAGGAACACAGCAGTGGGGAGGCCGGGTGGCTGTGCTCTCCCCTTCTGCTTTAGTCTGTCCCTACTCAGGAGGCCAGGTGGGAGCCAGGCTCTGTGAAAAGGCATCCACTTCCTGTGGGGACCAGCCACTGCTGCTAGGTTTCTAAGTTCCCGCCGGACAGCTGGCAGAGAAGGGGCCACGCGACGTGGGCGCTGCCGATGTCTGGCCGCCACGCCAGCCACTGCCCACTGCAGTCTCAGCCCAGTGTTGCTTTGAACTGCGGCCAAAATAACCCCAGACTACCAGAGCCTCTCTCCAAAAGGGAGAGATGACAAAACCAAGTCCCCAAAGGATTTTTATGAAAAACCCAATAGGGGAAGGCACAGGATAAAGAAGAAACAAACCATTTTTCTTAGGAAATACTTTCATATAGACAGTGTAACTGATCTATCCACTTTAGCCTTCAGCTTTTTTTTCCAAGATATTTTTGAACAATTTTTACCAAAAGACACAAGAACTGTAGGGGGTGGTTCAGGCTTCAAATCCCAGTTATATTACTCTTGACCTTTTCTGAGGCCCAGACTTTTCTTCTATAAAACAGAGGTGAGCGGAGAGCTATGCTCAGAGGGCAGTTTACAGGACCTAATGGGATAAACCTGAAGGGTCTCTCCCTCAGAAGGTAAGGCTCAGAGGGCCTGGAGAGGAGAGAACTTGGATCCTCTACACTAAGACGCCCCTCTATGCTGCTAACCATACCTTTCAGCTGGCCTCTGTCCTTTTTGGTTCACGGTGCCGCGGGTCCTCTGAGGTCTTGAGCTAGTGGCTTCAGGACAAACTCTAGAAATAGAAAAGAGATGGCAAAGGTTTGTGGGGATGTGGCTTCTGAGGCCACATCTGCTTGGATGTGGTCCCTACCCCTGAGTTTCCCTCTCCCACCTGACAGTGTCCCCAGGTCCTGTGGACTGGGGGTATTTTCCCAGCCCACAGTCAGCCCAGTGTCCACGCAATTACACCGACCACTGAAAATGGGAACCTGCGCAGTGCAGGATTTTGCTTCAAACTAAAATATTAGCAACTTAGTGCAGAACTTAGGTTTCCTCAGGCTGGAAAAAAAAAAGGCTTTCTGAGCAATTGTGAAAACAGGAAAGAGAATTAATCATCACCTAATGAATACAAGCTCTTTGAGCAGACCAGTAATTCTCAGACTTGTGCAGGAAAAGATAAGTAATAGAAGAGGACTTAGGTAGGAGAAGCAGCTCAGCCCCAGGCTGTGGCTACAAGTCCAGGCCCTCTGGCCCATCTCCTCTGTCAGGCCACAGGAGAGAAGGGTCAAGTTCACTGTGTCCAGACACCATACCTATCAGCCAAGGCGTAGGCTAGTCTCAGGTTCTGGATTGTCACAGCACAGATAAATGATTTTGTACCTCTCTCTGTGCACATACTACGTGCAAAGGACCCTGTTGGGCACATACAGAAAACAGTTGTTGAGCAAATGCAGGAACCAATGATGAGAAAGTAGATGAATTAGAAAGAGATGTGCAAAAACAAATACAAACCAGGTGCCAGAGGTTCACGCCTATAATCCTAGCTACTCAGAAGGCTGAGATCTGAGGGTATGAGTTCAAAGCCAGCTTCAGCAGGAAAGTCTGTGAAACTCTTTTCTCCAGTGAACCACCAAAAAGCTGGAAGTGGAGGTATAGCTCAAGTGGTAGAGGATCAGCCTTGATAGAGAAAGCTAAGGGAGAGGGCAAATCCCTGAGTTCAAGTCCTACAACTGGGGGGAAAACAAGCAAGCCACCATTTGAAGCTGCTGTCTGATGTGGCAGGTGATTAAGAGACAGGCATCTCTTTGCAGTGATTGGGTAAGAAATGAGGAAGGGAAGGAGAGAGGAAGGGAAAAACAGACGGGACCACAGGGGTAGGGGAAAGAACCAACATGAATAATCCATGCAGATCTGTGTTTCTAGTCATATGTATGTGCACATGTGGTACACGTGCAGCAAGGAACCTAGCATCTCATTAGACATACCAGTCTGTGCCATCACATCTCCTCTGAGCATGAGCACCCCTTCAGCTTCCTGAGCCTTTTTGACAGCCACATAGTATCTCAGGGTAACACATCCCTTCCCTTCCCTCCCCCTCCCCCTGCCAAAATTGTAAAGTTCGTTCTCAACATAGTGTCATCTCTTTGTTACAATGGGTCAACCTGTACCCTATTTAAGCATTTTGTTTTTTCCCTTCCCCTTCCCCAATTAGAAAAGTGTATATACAAGATACAGGGCACTGGAATCAAATACAGTAAAAACAGGGGTTATGCCTTCGGGGAGGAACATACCAAAGAAACAAAAAATAAAAATCACATAGTCCATTATAAGTACGTTAAAAACAATAGCAAGAAAGAAAAAAAAACACTTGTGTCCCTGTCTTGGGGTTCATTTTGCTTAACATCATCTTATTATGGTCAATATACATAGTTTTTGACCTTTTCTAGGACCTTTTCTGCTTGACCTAGACATATACTAGTTATTGCAAATAAGGGAAACCATGGGACCTATGTTTATTTCCCTACCAGGGCCAGTTGGACTATAGTAGCTTTGTGGCCATGAGCTCCAGACCACATTGGCACAGTCTCTGATGAAAAATGACTTAAACTGAAAATACCCACCGTCCCCCTGACAGACATATTTTAGAACTGCCCTTGCTGCTGACCCTGCTGTATCATCTCCCCTCCCCTTACCCCTGAAGACATGTACCAGAAGTCTTGGAAGAGAGCCTGAGACCAATACTACATCTGATGCTGACGCCCCGATGAACATAGAGGCCACTGAGACCTTGAAACTCCTCAGTCAAAATAATATTGCTTACCCACCCTGCCTCCGCCTCACCCCACTTCCATCTGCTCCCCCCAGACTTTACTCTTCCTGCCTAATATTTAAAGAACCTTAGTTGTAAGGGGGTGGGGGTGTGTGAAGGAGACTTGGGCGCCCTTCCCAGGCTTCACTCTTGAATAGAGGGCTTTCTGCCCTTTCTTGATTCTGATACCCTCAAGACTCAAGTTTCCTTGCAGTCTCTATTTGAATGCATGCACAATAAAGTACAGGGCAGACAAAAGCCTTTTGTCTTTATTGTAAATTTGAACCCAGGGTTCGGCCTACAGAAAGGCTTTTCTGATCACATCCTAGTGGCCTAGAACACCCAAACCCCAGACAAAGGGGTGGGGGGTAGGGGAGGAATATGTTATTTGGCTGACACAGAGCAAGGTCCATTGAGGTCTACTGTCCACTGCCCAGGGCACCTCTGAAGAACTTGGGTCTCCCTGCGCCACGCACTGCATTTACTGATAATGAGCTTTTATGAGCTCCAGGGACCACATGGAACATGTATTCATGTCAAGCACGTCTGTCAGCAGCGCAGCCTGGGTGAATGTCACACATTAATAAAATTAAAGGACTCAGCCATGCTGGGAAGGAGCAGTGGGCTTCAAGGCAGGTATGGACAAGGGCCGGTCACCAACAAAATGACTTTCCAGGTCTGGTGCTCCTGGGCCTTAAGCTATCTCTGTGAGTGAGTGCTGGAAAGGAGATTAGTTTATTACCAAGTCTGCCAGAGAGGCAAACTCCAGCACTAATCCCAATTCCCATGTAAGCCAATGTGCATGAAGAGAGGGAAATCTGTGCTGCAAATGTTTTCCTCTTCCTGGGACCCCCACCCCAGCTCCTCTGAGGCACAGAAGAATCCCAGGATACAGTGCAGGAAGATGGTGGCCAGGCCATGGATGGTGGTCATCTTTGGCTTTGGGAAGGAAAAACAAGAGCCAGACTGTCACAGCTTCCTACCTCAGTGCCTACCCCTGACCCCCAACCCTTCTGAAGGATTGGGAGTGGTATGGGCTGAAACTGCTTAATCCAGCTTTTATGGCTTCACAAGCCAACTTAAGCAAGCAAACCTACTAGTAACGCAGCGGCGGCTGACAGGAAATTCACTGAGAAACATGCACACCGAGAAACAGAGGTAGCAGAGGCCTGGCACTCAGAAGGGAACTCTTAAATATGAGTCTCTGTAGATTACAATCACTATAATTTTTAGTATACCTAATGCTGCCAATTAAGTTAATTAATGATGACACAAGTCTGTAGATGTTGCAAGACAGGTTTCTAAGATATTAAAATGTAAATAAATAAAATGGTCCCTTAAAAATCCATAGAATACACTAAGCATTTAATAAATGGGTGGTGAAGCTAGTGGTTGTGGCTCATGTCTGTAATCCCAACTACTTGGGAGGCAGATGGCGGAGCACATGGAGATCAAAGTCCAAGGCCAGCCTATACAAAAAGACAAGACCATGTCTAAAGACAAACTAAAAGCAAAAAACAGGGTAAGGTATGATTCAAGTAGTAGAGTACCTACCTAGCAAATGTGAACCCTTAAGTTCAATCCCAGTACCACTGAGTGAATAAACGAATGATTATAGATATGAAGAATTGGCCAAGTTTGCCCATTGTATACGGTCTGGCCCAAAAGTTCAATCCTTCTCCTCCTCTTGTTTCTTCTAAACTGAAGACTGGGTTCAATTTTAAAGAAAAATGCTAATAGTCACTGAATGTCCTGGCTGAAGCCTAGATAAGACACTTCAATGTTGACTCCAAAGTCTCCAACTCCATTTTTAACTTTTTACTTAAAATACAGCTAGGCACCAGTGGCTCGTATCTGCAATCCCAGCTACTCATGAGGCAGAGATCTGAACATTGCAATTGGAAGCCAGCACAGGCAGGAAAATCTGTGTGACTCATATCTCCAATTAACCACCAAAAAAGCTGAAAGAACTGTGGCTCAAGTGGTAGAGCACTAGCCTTGAGCAAAAAAAGCTCAGAGATGGTGCCTAGGCCCTGAGTTCAAGCCCCAGGATACATACATACATACACACACACACACACACATATATACACACACACATACAAAATAGCACACATACAGAATAGTGTACACATATATCATAGGCATACATGGGAAACCAACACCCACATCTAAAATCCTTCTGTATTTTCCCAGCTACTATTTCTCTTCCAGGCCATTCTCCCAAGTCCTTCCTGACTATGGCATAGTTCCTGCCCCGACCTACCTGGCATCAGCTCCATTACTATTTGTCTGCTTTGCACAGAGATCCCCATTACTCTCCCAGCCTGCTGCCTCTGTACCCTCCAACTTTCCTCCCCACTCTAAGCACTGTGTCTTCTCTTCCAGTGTGTTCCTTGGCATTGATGAATGGATGAATGGCTGGCTGGATAAATGGATGGATGAATGGGTGATGCTGAATGATGGATGGATGATGGGTGGATGGATGAATGGATAGATGAATGATGATGAATGATGGATAGATGATTATGGACGATGGGTGGATAGATGAATGGATAGATGAAATATGGATGGATGATTAATGGATGGATGAGATATAAATGGGTAGCATATGGATGAGTGATTAATGAATTGAACAGGTAAATGGGTGAGTGATGCATGGGAATAGATGGATGGGTTTTGATGGATGGATGGATGGATAGATGGACAGATGGGGGACACATGGAGTTAAAAAGAATGGTGGAAAGGCAGAACTAGCCAATAGAAAAATCTATGCTAAACATGCTAGGGATTTTATTACTCAAGACACTGAGAACTGCAGGATCACAATTCAAAGCTAGCCAGAGCAGAAAAGTCTGCAAGACTCCATTCTCCAATTAACCAGCAAACTGTCAGACTGAAGGCAAGTAGTAGAATAGCAGGCATGAGTGAGCAGGCTGAGGGAGAGCACAAGGCTCTGATTTCCAGAAACCAAAGAAAAAAAT